GTGGATCACCTGAGGTCAGGAGTTCAAGACCAGCCTGGCCAACATGGTGAAACCCTGCCTCTACTGCAAATACAAAAATTAGCTGGGTGTAGTGGTGTACACCTGTAGTCCCATCTATTTGGGAGGCTGAGGCAGGAGAATCGCTTGAACTTAGGAGGTGGAGGTTGCAGTGAGCTGAGATTGCGCCACTGCTCTCCAGCATGGGTGACAGAGCGAGACCCTGTTTAAAAAAAATAAAAAGAAAGAAAAAGGAAAAAAAAAACAAATTAAAAGAAGGCAAAAAGAATGGGGAGGCTGAGAAAGATTAAAAACATCTGGCAAATTGGTAGAATCACCATCATTCCTCTGTATCCTGGAGAAAGCAGGAGACACCTGCTGAATGCAATGTCTTTGGCAGCAGGCACTGTTCACTGGATGAGGGGTGGCTTCTCTGTGGGATGAGGCAGTGGAAATGTAGCTGTTGGTTGGTTTGTCTGTGGAGACATGACCCTCTGTGCTGGGTGTCCCCTGACTCACAACACTAGGGGAGAATAGAGGAAGTTTTCCATTCATGATCAAGGGCAAGCAGTGACTTGGACAGTGCCAGCAACCACCATTGGTAGCTCCATCTGGACTGGGACAGGGGACAGTGGTTGCTTGAGACAATTGGACTTAGGCATAACTGGGGCTAAAGCCAGCTGAGTGTTTCTGGGTTTTCCCTTGGTTTTTCCTGAGTGCTCAGAGTTCTCATGCCCTCACCCACACCTATGACCCTGGGTCAAATATCCTGGTGAGGAAAGAGCATCTAAACTCATTGACCCAAAGGCAAAAAGGACTGATAACACTTGAAACGCTCAGATGGTAGACTTTGGGTCATCAACTGGCTGGCAGACAAGGGGCTGGAAGGACCTTCTCTGAAGGACACCATATGTCACCCTCTCCAGTGTCATTCAGAGGTCACCCGAAGGGACCACTCACAACACTTGTGCTGTGGGCTGGATGTAAGATTGGGCCAGATCCCCAGCCCCCATTTCCCATGGGACTGGCATGAGGATGGGGGTCTTCCTTTTCACTTCTACTGCAGATGGATCAAGTCCATCTAGCATGTGGTGGAGATTGCCCTCAGTACAAGGGTATTTCCCGAGAGGTGATGTCAGAGCCACTCAGCGTGTGTGTGTGTGTGTGTGTTTACTGCATCTTAATATGTTTTTAGAATAAGATTTCTCAATTCAAAAGTAATATACATATTTTTGTAATACATGTACAAAACTACCACTAGAAGAGTTTAAAATGATCAATAACGTAATAATAGTATTGCAGTTAGATAAGGGTTTAAAAGCCCTTGTCTTTTAGAGATACATACTGAATATTTACAGATAAGTGGTTGTGACATTTGGAATTTGCTTTAAAATAATCCAGCAGTGGGGGAGGAAGTAGTGGGTACAGACAGATAACATGGGCTATGAATGGGTAATTGTAGAAGCTGGGTGATGGCTGTGTGGAAATTGATTATAATTTTCTCTTTACCTGTGTATATTTGTGATTGAAATTTTCCAAAATTAAAGGTTTTTTAAAAAAAAACAGTTTTATCTTCCTTTTGTGCCATATGTATCCTTCCATTTATAAAGCAAAGGGGAAATAAAACTTTCACTTATTTGAGAAAAAAATCACCAGTCGTCCCACCTCACATGTTGTCTGTCTTTTTCCTGTTCATAGATAAACATAGAGAGAAATTACACTCTAATTGGGATTTGTAAAAATGTGTTGGAAAAAGACCTTATTGATTTGGTCAATGTTAATGTTTTGCACAGTGTATTTCAGAGTACAGTGAACAGGAGCTCTTGGAAGGTGGAGGCATGCTCAGTGAGTGGGGCTCAGCCAAATGTCTCTATTTTCATCACTGTTTGTGGCATGGTAGGTGCAGCAGACCTAGGAAATAAGTGAAGAAATGGGTACAGACCAAGACATCAAATGCACAACCCCCCACTAGGAGAAGAAACAGGGGAAACGACTCACAGGAGGAGCAAGGGTTGGAGACATAAGTGTAGCAAAGACAACAGCTTCCTGAGCTCCATGTTCTTCTTTTTCCTCTGGATTCACAGCTGGACCACATAACCTTCTCAGCTTTTCTTTCAGTTAGGTGAGGCTATGAGACTGGGTTCTGGCCAATGGAATGAGGGTGGAAGTGAGGCTCCCACTGTCAGGTCTAGCTCATAAAAACCTCACAAACAGTGCTCCACCATACTCTCTTTCCTTCCACAAACTTAATGGAAATGACTTCAGCGAACTTGGAGGTCATGTACTGAAAATTGCAGAGTCTCCATCAGCCTCCGTCTTCATCATCCTATCTACCCAGGAACCCTTACCAGTATTAGGTAACCATAAAATAAATGTGAATGTGTTTAATCCATTCTACCTCTTTGAGTCAATTTATTAGTAGATGAAATTGGACCAAAATCACAGAAAGATAAATTCATCTGAAAGGTAGGATGAAAGATGACTATGGCAGTATCTATAAAGCAAAGGGGAAATATAATTTTCAGGAAGAATGAGTCAATCATAACAATGACTATTTTTTAGATCGTGTTATATTCCAAACTCTTTGATAAGTTGAATAAATGCATGATTACATTATATAGTTAATTTTCATGATAATTATATCAAGCATTAAATGAGGACTTAAACTCAAAGAGGTTGAGCACATTGCCCAAAGTTCCACAGCAAATACATAATGCTCTTCCACACCATGTGATCTTACATCCAAAATCATAAGTCTAAAGAGCCAGTTGAAGTGACTTTCAGAATGGTAGATGGGATTGAGCCAGGGAAAGGGGAGCATTTATTGGGCATGGGATGGTGAGGATTGAGTAACAGGACACTGCTCATCCATCAGGTTCTGGTTCAGGTACCCTTCTCTGTAGAGCCTTTTTGAGCTATACTTGTCAGTATGACCACTCTGAATTTCTTTATTATGTACTACTCCTTACCCAGTGCATTACAGACTTCCTTAGAGTGTTACTGGACTTGCTCTAAGATTGATTTATATGCTAGATTTTTACTGCTTACTCACATTAGGCTCTTCTCTACCTTTAGGCAAATGGAAGGATGACCCTTCCCCAGTCACCTTGCACTTAGGTGGGATCCTGTGACTAGCTGTAGCTAATGGGTTGGGGAAAGAAGTGACATCTATTGTTTCTGAGACAAAGCATTTAATCACTGGCATGAAGCCTCCTACTATTCTTTTTCCCTGCTACAGCAATTGTGTTACGAGACAGAGGTAGCATAAGAGCAGTGAGCAACTGCAAGGAAGACAGTGGTTTTAGAGAATTTCCTGTACCCACAGCCAAATTAGCATGGCAAGAAGTCACCTGGGTGATTGTGTTAAACCAGTGAGACTTTGTTTACGTTGTTACTGCAATACAGCCCAGACTATTTTGGCAAATACAATTTAATCTTTCATCATGATCAGAGATGTCAAATATTAATCATCAATGTTACCATTGCCTCATGCTACAGACATGATGTATGTTATTAATCCACTAATAAACTTTTATCCATTGAACTGTAAAGCCTCAGAATCTTTCTCATCATAGTGAGCTAAGCAGTCATTATTAATTGATCAGATGTGAAAATTAGGGGAAACCCACTAAAGTCATTTCATCTCACTTGGCATAAAATCCAGACTTCTTACCAGGGCCTCCAAGGGTGCACAAGAGCTGGCCTTACCCTTCTCTTCAATCTCATTTCCTATTATTTGCTTTCTCGTTCACTCTTCTCCATCCACATCAACCCTTTTCGTTCCTCAAACACACTAAGAATACTCCCATCTCAAAGGCTTTACATTTGCTACACTCTTTTTTTTTTTTTTTTTTTGGTTCAAGTGTGCCTGAGATGTCACCTCTTCACCCAGACCTTCCTAGTCTACCTTATTAAAATTTCCTGCGCTCTCTACCCACTTCCTCAATGATAATAAAATACTGCTCTGTCTTTATGCTGTTGCATTCTTGGTATTTAGAGTAGTGCCTGGAATATAGAGGTGCCTACAAGATATTTCTTAAACTAAAGAAGGCAACTGATCTGCCAACCACAATCTAGGTCATAATTTCTTAAGAGAAAGGGCAGGTCCTCTTTATTTGTGGCTTGTCTTCTGTGGTGAATCCACATAGTGCATACAGCAGGTGTCCATTAAATTCCCATTTGATGTTTAGAAGACTTTTATTTTCCATTGTATCACCGTGAAGTCACATCTGTGTCTTTTTGTCTCCTTTCACCTTCATATGCTCTCTCAAAACATCTCTTCCTTTCTCTTTCCCTCACCTGCCCTCTCCACATTCTTTCCCGTTAAAGTTCAGTTCAACAAGTCTCTTTCTCATCCATGCCATGCCTTCTACAGCAGCATTCTTCTGTGGCTAGCAAACAGTAGCCAGCAATAAAATGGGTTTTGGTCTTGCCTCACATCCATGTTCTGTACCTGTTCCTTTTCTACAGGAGTTGATGCTAAGCCCAGTCAGGACTTGGCAGGAGTCTTATGCCTGTACATTAGAGCCCAGAATTTCTACCCTTTGGGTGTTTTGAAGAGAAGCAGCTGTTACCATCTGCCAGATGAAAGGCTTTGCCTTTCAAAATAAACTGTGAGGCATGTTCAGGCAGAAAGGGGCTCTCTGGAGAAGATCTTGGAAGATGGGACTCAGAAGACCTGCCACTCATTTGGATTGCCATACAACTATAGGCAAGTATCAGGGATGTCTAGTTTCTATCACAGTAAAGGAGAGATAACTGTATTCTTTGGGTAGAATGGGATGATGCAGGGAGGGATTGTAGGTTTGGCCAAGTGATGAAAAGAGCACAGAACTCAGAATCAGAAGACCTGAGGTTTACAGTTAAAGTCCTAAATTCAAGACCCAGTGGTAGGGGCATCCACCATCCACTTGAGCCTCTGTTTACTCTTTTGTAAAATGGTGTGATGGTCTCCTAGATTCATCAAGTCTTTTTAGTTGCAAGGAACAGAAACCAGCTTGTGGTAATGTAAACAGAATAAAATGAATTTATTAGGAGGACCTGACTGCATTCTTGCCATTGGCTTCTGTAAGGAGCGAGTGTTTCAAGAATGGACTACAACAAGGAGCCAGAAAAGTGTTAGAACTCAAGAAGCATTTCCTGCGTTTCTGTGAGCTTCTGCTTTATTCTTCTTTCCCCTGCTTCTCTGTCCTCATGGAGGTGTACTGCTACCCCAGAGCTTCCAAGTTTATGTCCCATACCTTCAGCCATGCTCTAATCCCAAATGTCAAAATCTAAGACTCTGGTTGGTCGGGATTGCTTTAGGTGTCCACCTCAGGTACAACTATGGCTGCCAAAGCTGCTTTTCACAATCTGGATGAAATATTCAGAGAAGGAACTACAACTTGTGGGTTGGGCCAACAATCCAAAAAGGGTCTTGTGAGTATTCTTGTCATTGAATAAACTCTCAGGTGCTGTAACTAGAAAATGGTGCTATTTCTAGTCAGAATACACAACCATCTCACAATGATACTATAAGAAATCAAGGCGTAGTCCTATGCAAATCTAAAATTGTCCATTGAATAACCAAGCTCTGTGTCTACACATTTGAAGTTGTCTTATTCTAGGATTCTAATTTTTCAGGGAGCTGGGAGAAGCAACATTCTCCATCCTCTGCCTTAGCAATACTCTTTTCACTTCCTCCACTCCAATAAAAGCTTCCAAAGGAAATCTTCCTTCTTAAAAGAAACTTATTTCCATGATTCAGAATAAAATTTAGTAAAGACTATGAATTAGGATTCCATTGATTTAGTATTTTTGCTGTCAAGAATCAGAACTTTTCTATCCCCCTATCTCTTAAAGACAGGAAAAATTTGCTAAGTGAAATAAAAATGTGACCTTGAACGAGTTTTGTAACTTTTCTAAGACTTTGTTTCTTTATCTGTAAAATAGAAATTAACTTTTCATGGGATTGTTGTGACAATGAAATGACATTAGGTTTGACATGTAGAAAGTGCTGGCTATTAGCTATGATGTTGAAGATAACGGTGGTTATAGTGATGGTAGTGATAACCAGTGGTGATGGTGGATGGTGGTAGTGGTGGCGTTGATGAGAGCGGCAGTGGTGATAGTAGAGGTGGTGTTAGTTCTCAAGGTAGTCACGGTGGTTGTGGTAGTGGTGATAACAGCAATAGTGGCAGTGATGGAGTGGTGATGATTAATTATGACAGAACCAAGAATGTATAAATTGTTCTCAGTATACAGTTCTCATATAGCGAATGAATGCAGAGAACATGTAATTTTCAGACAACTACAAGGCTTTTAGTTACCATTTACATATCAACCATGGATATGTTCTAAAGAAATCATGCTTAAGTAACAGATTTCTAAAGCCTGCCAATAAATGCTTAACCACTTTGTATGAAGTGGAGAGAAGAGGAATAAATATGAATTTTAGTTACTACATGAACATAAAAGAAATATAGTTTAAAATAAATATAATTACATTTCCCTTAAATAATAGTGCATAAAATATACACTGTCTCACTTGTCTTCCTTCCAGTTAGCTTGCTACGTAAAGTCACACATCATTAATTCAAATTTCATTCTCAAATATTCTCATTTCTAAATTTATTATCATCCAAGTCTAGGATTTCTCCTATCTGCATACTATTTTAAACTCCAAAAGTCTGTGTAAAACTCACTTTGTGGCTAAAATGGACCTATATAAAATCTAGATGCATCTGTCTCCTTGGCACTTCCAGAGTGTAGCAGCCACACCAATTTCTTTATTTGCCATAATTTGAAAGCCTTATTAATCCTAAAGCCTTATTAATAAAGCCTTATTAATCAGCTCTGTAATCACAGTTGGTTAGCTTGAGACTAGTCATTGGAGGTCATTTATTTTTATGAAGTTTGCTTCCCAGCCACTGGTTTATTTAGACTTTACTAATAATTATTTTGCAAGAGCTTTTTTCACCACAACTCATTTGTATGTGCAGAATTCACACCGAATAGGAACTAAGGATCAATTTTTTTCAGAGTTAAGGTTTAAATGGAATGTCATCTTTTCTTTCCCATGCCAGATCATTCCTTTTCTGGGAAGCAGTCCTGTGAAATAATTAAATGTCGTCTTTTTAAAAGAGTCTGTGATCTGTTGCATTTATAATCCTGGAATTCCATGATTCGGCCCAAGATCTCCCAGCTTTGCATTTTACACTCTTGCTCACATTTGGTTTAGATTTGACTTTTCTTTGCCTGAGAGGAACAGGATTTATTACTACCAGTCAGAAGCCATCAGGCCCCAGTATTTCAGCAAAGAACCCTAGTCTGCCAGAGTGAGTAATGCTCTGGCTGCACTGAAGTCTCCCTGAACCAGTCACCCCGAGTAGGATACCATTGCTTGCATTTATTTAGAAACTGTCAAGTTGTCTATGTGTTTCCACCCACTAGTACATGAGATTCCTGAAACACCCCTATGTTCTCTGATGGGAGGGAAAAAAATAACAGTCCCTCCTGCATTTATGTAATGCTTATTTATGGAGCACAGTGTGTATGTCAGGAACTGAGAGCTGAGTAGGTGCTAGCACCCCAGACAGATGTGTCCCTGTTCTCAGGTAGCTTAGAGGTCCTTGAGTTCCACCATGAGGCAGGCACCCCAGAAAAAGGTCTCGATGTCTTCTTTCACTGACTACTCATAGTCAACTATGGGACAGGTCTGATTACCCTCATTTTGGGGCTGGGAATACCAGAACTCCCAGAGGTTAAGTCATCCTCTGATAAGGGGGAAAGCCAATGCTCATACCTGGGCTTTCTTGGTCCAAAGCTGCTGTTTGCATTCTGGATTCTTTCCAAATAGTGTGATCTCATGTCAACCCAAATCAATCAAGTTTCCTTTCCAGTTTCCCACATCCCATGGTTTGGCTTAGAAAGAGAGGTGGGGCAACACACTACAGACATGGAGCAGCTAAGATTTTGGGAAGAGTTTGTGTGACCAGGGCATGGGCAGGGTGTGTTTAGAGTGAAAAGTGGAGCAGAGGAGAGCTCAGAGAGGTGATCCAGGAATTCCCAAAGGCAGGCCCCGACTCAGTAAGTCACCAGGTCAGTTATTTGAAATGAGTCATTTGTGGTATGGGGGCAAATGACCTCAGTCCCTCACTGAACTATCGGGAAGCAGGCAAACAAAATACTCCCTGCTGGGGAGAAAAATCCTGATTGCAACCCCTAGAATTTGCATGCCCCTCTATAGTTTGTGAAGCACTTTCAGACCTGCTTTTGCCTTGGTGGAATTGTTTACTGCACTAATAGAGAAGGGACCAGGACTTGATATGGCCTACTTTGTTGATTTTTATGTATTTTTTAAAAATAGTCCTTTGTCAAAATGAAATTTCATGCAATAGTCTGGTATATAAAACTGATGCAGGTGAAACTTCTGTAGTCAGGATGGGGACTGGGCACAGAGGACAGAGAGGCACAGCCTACTCTTAAGCTTTTACTCTGACCACTGTGTCTGCTTCTGAAGGGTCTCTAAGGAGCCTCCAGGTTCCATGAAATGCAGTAAAACACACATTGTTCCTAGTGACTATCCACTTCACTTTCTTCCTCCAAGAAAAGAAGGCTGAAATGCCTGGAGGTTGCATGAGGTGAACAAGGCCACTCCTTGCCCTGTACTCTTGTCCATGGAACCCACCAGGGCTGGTTTCTCACATGGGTAGGGCCTGAAGCCTTACCCAGGAGCCAGTTTGACCCCCAGTTGTTTGAAGAAATGAAGTGTCCTCTTGGTCACAGACAGCGGCAGCAGCAACTCTTTCCTGCAGACTGGCAGCATTTTCCAAGCACCTGCTCTTCAGGTGGGAGTTCTGGGGCCCTGTCCTCATTCCAGACGGGCAGCCCTTTGCATCGTGGCCTGCCAGCTTCTGAGTGCTGAGGACTAGGTTCAGACATGGATTTTTCAGTCTCAAACACTCTTCCTGAAAATGCAAGAGGAGCAGTCTTTAGTCAAACAGGAATCTCTGCACCTGAAAAATTTACACTGGACTAGGCAATGGTGGTGGTTGCACAATCTTGTAAAAGTACTACATACCACTGATGTATGCACTTTAAAATGGGTGAAATGGGCCAGGCACAGTGGCTCACACCTATAATCTCAGCATTTGGGAGGTTGAGGCAGGTGGATTCTCTGAGGTCAAGAGTTGGAAACCAGGCTGACCAACATGATGAACCCCATCTCTATTAAAAATACAAAAAAATTAGCTGGGCGTGTTGGGGGGGTGCGTTGCCTTTAATCTCAGCTACTCCGGTGGCTGAGGCAGGAAAATTGTTAAAACCCGGGAGGTGGAGATTGCGGTGAGCCGAGATCTTGCCACGGTACTCCAGCCTGGGTGACAAGAGCAAAACTCCATCTCGAAAATAAAATAAAATAATAAAATGGGTGAAATGGCAAATTTTATGTTATGCATATTGTGACATAATAATAATAATTTTAAATATGTACATTGGTTCCTTATTTCCTACAGATTCAAGTTCAAACTCCCTGGCATAGCTCACACCTTGTTCTCCCACATCTGTAGCCTCATGTCTGCTGTCTTCCCCGACCCATCCATCTGATCTATGTTCAACCCACGTTGCTCTCCATTCTCTGTACAAGCCATGTTCTTTCACTTTTCTATGCTCAAACACAATTTTGCTTTTAGTAACAATAGCAAACACTTATCTATAGTGCTTGCTGTGTGCACACATAAATCTAAATCTAATGCTTAATACATGCAGGGCTTTGAGTCATTTAATCCTCACCAAGTCTATAAAGTACATATATGCTATTAATGAGCCCATTTTATACTTGAGCAAATTAAGTTAATTGCCTTAGTCAAGGTCACACAACTAAGAAGCAGCCAAGATAGGGTTTGGACCTAGGTGTTCTGGCTCCTGAATCCATCCATGCTGTTTGTCATTACATAGTGCTGCCAGTGGATGACTCATCCCTGTAGTTTCATCTGAAGAATTCCCTCTCCTCTTTTGAGACCTGTCTCAAATATCACCTCCCCTGTGAAGACTGCCTGGTGTTCTCCAGGAGAGTATGACTCCCTTCTCTAGGAATGGTAGCACCCTGAACACACATATTTTGCAGCATATTTCACCTTGTGTGGTAATGGCCGGCTTGGGAGTTTGATTCCTTACCAGAGGGCGAGGGCTCTGAAAATAGGGCAAGGTCTTTTTACCTTGATACCCTGCAACACTTATGACATATTTGATGAATGAATGGGTAGGTGGATGGTTGGGTGCATTTCTCTCAACTTTTCAATTTCTTGAAATAAATACAAAATCTTACCTTCCCTCAGAAGTTCTGGCATGGTTCCTTCAGTCTTGCCACAGACACTGATTATCACTTTCACTTTCTGTGTAACTCACGCAGCAAGAAGTCCATGCAGATTTACTTTTAGTAGTTCACATGAACAATAAGTACCGCGTTTGATTTCCAAATATTAAAGCATAGTATATTATAGGTAAATATACAGTTATCATTCAAGTATGATATTTCAATCTCAAAAGGCTTCCCTTGAAGAATATAACAATCTCTACTTTAAAAACTGCTGGGTAGAAGAGATGGGGGAAAATGAATTAATGTTTACACAGAAAGGAGGATAATGGGGGCAAAAAATAATAGATAAATGTATGGGTGGATGAGAGAATGAATAAAATGATAGGTGGGTATGTCGATCATGGATGGATGGGAGATGAGTGGATATATCAATAAACAGGTGTGTGGGTGGATGGGTGGAGAGGAGGATGGTAGATTGTTGTGAGTTTATGAAGAGACGTGAAAAAGGATGTGTGAAACAATGGGTGAGAAGTTGTATGGGAGAATGAACAGAAGAATAGGTGGTTGGATGTATGAATAAATTAAAAAGTGTGTGGTTGGATTAATGGATGAAAGGGGTGATGGATGGACCTAAGTTGTTAGTGGATGGACAGGAGGATGGATGCGAGAGCCCTGCAAGGACATAAGGGAAGATGGGTGGATAGATGGATGAATGGATGGAAGGATATTTAGGAGGATAAATGAGCATGTATGTGGGTGGCTGGAGAGAGGTGCCTGCTCCCCACTGGCTTGAACTCATGGGTTGGCCGAGCCAAATGCCAGCCCTATGACCGGCCACCTGTAGCTTTCCCTGAGCTGTTCTGACAAGAAGCAAAAACTCACTTAAGCCATGTGGACTTCCCTCATTTTTCAGGGGGAAAAGAATGAGTTCTCCCTCTTTCCCCTAGGAAGATTCACCAATTTCCCACCCCTCACTCTCCCCATCCCTCACTCTCCACTGGGGGCTGGGAGGCACCGCGCCACCCAGGGCAAGCAAGACCTCGCCTCGTCTCCAGAACTTCTCCCAGGATATCCAACTACCTGTGAAACCCAGAGATCTCTCTCCAGCTGGATTCAAAGAGAAGTTTAGCGGGGAAGGAGAGGCCAAAGGCTGAACCCAACGGAGCGAGGTTTTAGGATTCAGTCATCCTCTGTCCTGACGCCTCGGGGCCAGCGGGAGAAGAAAGCCGGTGCGTCCCGGGAGCTCAAGGGCCGCTGGGGCTCGGAGGCACAAGCACCCGGTTTTCCCAACCCGGTCCCCGGCAGCTCCGATTTACAACCTCAGTAGAGCGCTGGGCGAGGGCAGAGGGTTCCGCCGAGGAACGCGCTACTTCTTTAAACCTCTGCCGGCAGCTTAGTCACAGCCCCTCTCGCTTGGGTGTGTCTTTCGCTCGCTCCCTCCCTCCGTCTTAGGTCACTTTCAGCTGTCGAATAAAAACTGCAGCCAACTTCCGAGGCAGCCTCATTGCCCAGCGGACCCCAGCCTCTGCCAGCTTCAGTCCGCCCTCCTCACCGGCCCCTGCCCCGCGCCCCCGGGATTCTCCAGCTCCTCTCGCCTGCGCCCTCGGTTGGCTCCGGACACCATGGACAAGTTTTGGTGGCGCGCAGCCTGGGGACTCTGCCTCGTGCAGCTGAGCCTGGCGCAGATCGGTGAGTGCCCACCGCAACCGGGGCAGCCGGGGCAGCTGTTAAGCTTTGGTGCGGGGTGCGCAGCGCCGACCCGGCGGTAGCCCCTGGGGCTGAGTTGGCCCTGGGGGACTAGAGTCGAGTGAGCTGCCAGCGAGGTGCACTGGGCTCGGGAAAGCGGGGCTGGGATCGGCGCTAAACCGTTGGAGAGTGTGTCTGTGGCAGCACCATTTGGTTGAACCGAAAAGAGAAAGAGTGCAGTTTGTTGGGCAGGCTGCCGGCGCGCAGTTTTGGGCGAGGTCGCTAGAGCTGGAGCACATGGCAGAAAGTAACCGTTCTCCTGGATGCGCGCGGTCGGTGTCTGGACTAACAGGCTCTTGTGCCCAAGGGCTCACCAAGCCCCACCGGGCTGTGTCTAGGCAGGGCAGAGCTAGGCGGGGTAGGGACTGGGGCTGGGACAGGGCAAGTGGCTGTTATCAAGGTGGTCACACAGGGGGTCACAGTTGCACGTGAGAGACTGGCTGGCAATAGGCTTTCCAGAAAGAAGTCCTGGGTTCTCCCAACTCCCCACTGAGCTTTGTTCCAAAGCTTACAGTACGCACTGTCACTGCCACCTTAGCGCTGTGGAGGCTTGAACCAGCTCTGCGGTGAGCTCTAGGGCGGGTCTCCAGGAGATTCCAGCCTGGGACAGGGAGCATGAATAGGAGAGGCAACCACTGGACCAGCTGCTTAGTCCTTGCTACCTCCTGCTTCTGCCAATCAGTGTGGGGAAATCCCAGCAGTAAAGTGTCTCATATTCCCTGCCTGGTAGCCTCAGAGCAGAGAGAGGAGTGTTGATATCAGGGCAACATCAGGAACCCTGGAGCTAGGGCTCCAATAGCACATCTCTGAACAGGGTCGGTGCCTGTCAGTAGCTGTGGAGGGGAGAGGCTGCCTGTGAGGTACTCTAGCACAGCTCAACTCTAAGCATTGTCTTTCTTTGTCTGTATATGTACAGATAATTACCTGGCCGATTTGCTTATCACTAGCCAAAATTAATTTTTCTTTTAAGAAGGGCCAGCTGGGTCATTAAGACACCTCAGCCTGCAGCAAATTATACTCAGCAAATATTTATTAATCCAGTTCTTGGAAGGGGGGGTGGTTACTGAGGAAGTGAAATATAGAGTCCCACCTGGGTACTTTAGATTGAGTACCCAGTGTAAAGTATCTTGAACTAAATACCTTGGGCAGTAGGAAAAAAGTGACCCTAGGTAGAGGCTAGGCAGGATGAGTTCTCTGTGCACACACATCTCCCTTTCTGTGTGGGCCGGAGGTCATTGCTAGGTGGGGATATGGGGATCTCGGATTTATGCTACTGAAGCTGAAATAATAACAGCAATAACACAGCCAGGCATGGTGACTCACGCCTGTAATCACGGAACTTTGGGAGGCCAAGGCAGGCAAATCACCAGAGGTCAGGAGTTCGAGACCAGCCTGACCAACATGGTAAAACCCCATCTCTACAAAAACTACAAAAATTAGCAGGGCATGGTGGTGCACACCTGTAGTCCCAGCTACTTGGGACATTGAGACAGGAGAATCGCTTGAACCTAGGAGGCGAAGGTTGCAGTAAACAAAGATTATACCACTGCGCTTCAGCCTGGATGACAGAATGCGACTCTGTCTAAAAAAAAAAGGAATACGGCACCAGCTACCATTTACTCTATATTTTCACTGTGCCAGGCATTATGTCAAATCCTTTCCATGTGTTATCTCATTCTACCTTCATAATGGCCTAGTAAGAAGTTTCCTGTTATCAGGCCTGTTTGACAGGAGGAAAACTGATGCTTAGAGAGGTTAAGTGACTTGCTGGCATTCACACGGCCAGGAGCAAAGCTGGATGAAAACCCAGCTCCACTGAGTTCCAAAGCCTAGGCTTAGAATGTGTTGGATTAGAATATAAGATGGACACACTCGAAAAGGATTTCAGGGAGGGAAGGATTTCGGTGGACCCTAGGCCTTAGGAAAAGTTCCAAAAGGAGCCAGAGCTCAAATAGGCCCTTGAAAAGCAGAAACAGTCAGAATGGGAGAGAAGTGGGAAGCTGGAGATCAGGGAGATGGCCTCAGAGAGGCCTGGGCCTGGCCTCAGAGAAGAGGGTCCTGATGGTTTCCCTATGGTTTCTAGGGGAGTTTATTTGTGTGTCACCTACCAGTGCCATCTTCTGCTTTGTCTCTGGGCATTCTGACTCCTGACTCCTTCCAGCCTGTCTCCCTGATTCTTCTAAAGGGCCCCACCTCCAAATATTTGGCAGTGTCCTAACCCCTGGGGTTCTCCCAGAGACTGGCAGGCTCCCTCCTGCCCTGAATTTCCACGGCCCCTTTGCGGAGCATCATTTAGAGGAAGCACAATGAAGTGCCAGTAGCAATAACTGCCCCGGCCCTGGCTTTCATGTGCTTGTAAAGTTGTTTGGCAGGAACTGAGACTTGGAAAGGAGACATGACTTTGTCAGAGGGCTTGGGTCTGGGCATGGGGTGGATGGGGGGAGGCGGACGAAGAAGGAGAAAGGGGAAAGGAAAGGAACTCTTGTTGCCCCATTCTGGGGGTTGGTGGGCTCTGGACAACCATGAGAAAACTTTGGAAAGGAGCAAGGCTTTTGGAAAGAGGAAGGGGTCCAATCTGTGTATGGGACAGCAAAAAGTGGAGAAATGGCCAAATGTAGTTAAGTGACATTGGACCCAGAAACTCTGAGTTGGGGAATAGAATTGTTGAATTAGGGGTCCTGTGCAGGAGGAAGAAAGTGACCCTTGCTGGATGGCAGAGGGGATGAGTCCTTCATGCGCACGCATTTCCTTTTCTCTGTGGGTGAGGGGGTCTTTGCTTGGGAACTGCATGCCTGGTGTTGAGAAAGAGGAGAGCATCTAAGAGCCCTCGGGCTTGGGGCAGGCACACACACCTTTCTGCTCCTTTCTCTCTAATTGAGCATTAGAGACTCCACCTCTTGCTGGGACTTAGATCTTTGGCTGTGTTTTCCCATGTGAAGAAGCAAAGAGGCAAAGCTTCATCTCTGTTGGGGCTGGCATCAATTAACTCAGGGATTCCCCATTTACACATTGGACATCTACTTCCTGCAAAGGCATGGTGACAAGTCTGTGTGTGGGAGGCTGGCAGCCAGTAGGAAAATGTTCCATTTTTTTTTTTTCCCCAAATTGCCCCACACAGGAGGGGATGCTGGACAGCATGAAATTCTTAGTTTATGACAGATTCCTTTCCATTCATTCAGGAGCTATTTCCTGACTCATTGTCATAGACTCAGAGATGGGAACTCCAAGGATCATTTAGAAAACCTTAAAGAGAGGCACTAGTGACTTCCCCTCTCTGAGACTTGTTAAGATATTAGGGCAGGGCACTCTTTATACACTTGGTCTCTGATACATCGCCATCATGAGGACTGTGGGAGCCTCAAACCCACCCCCGGCAGTGAACAGGGAGGGTGTGGTCTACTGATGTAACATTTGTTTCACACCTTAAATACTGCCTTACACACTCATTACAATTTTATGTATTACTCTACAATATACCCAAATTGAGTTTAATATAATAATAATAATATATATATATACTTTTACCATATAGCAAAGTTGGTGTTCGAGAAAGATTTTCTGTATTGTCCTGGGGCTTCTAGCACCTCCTGGAACATCGCTAGATGGTTAGAAGCACTGAAGTGTTCAAAGCCTGACACTCTGCTATGGTACCATATGGTCCTATGTAAAGCAGGGTCCTAAGTCCTGAGTCCCTGGGAAATACCACTCAGTGACCACTGGCTCTATGCTAGACATGAAGCTGGGGGTAGCACAGGATATCTCATTTAAGCCTCCCAACAGCCCTACACACTCTCTTAACTCCATTTTATAGATAAAGAGATCGAGGCTTGGGGAGATGGCATGACTTGCCCCAGGACCAGTGGTGGAGTTGGGATTTCCCCATTGTCTAACATGTTAGACTCCAATGCTTATGCTCCTTTGATTCGTTACTTTGTGTCTGGAGGACTTTGGAAACTGTGTGTGGTTCTCCCACACTCCCTTCCTGCTATGGCCAACATGAGTGAAGCCTTGCATGGGTGGCTTCTCTCTCTACCTCCGGAGGCTCAGGACTCTTGGCTGCCCTGCCCTGGCCTGTCTCTCCCCAGGTTTGGCCACAGCTGTCAGAGATGCCAACCAAGTTATTTGTAACTAAAATAAGTCACTTCTCTTATCAGAGTCCAGCTGCCCTTCTAGACATGCTCTCATTTGCATGCTTGGAATAAAGGGAGAGGTGGTTGCTTGTCTATGAGACAAGTTAGGGCAATGCCCTCTGCCTGAAAACGAGAAAAGAGGCACTACAGAAGCTCTCACTCTGACCCAGCAAGCATGTCACATGCACTGACCCAGAGACCCACTCCTCACATGCTCAG